ATGAAATTTAAACAAGTTCACCGATTATTCTAAGACAGGTTGAAGATGAAGATCTTGATGCTAAGGTTGAGAACCTTATGGATGAAATCAACTCCGCTTCATATCTAAGAAGTTGTACACTTTATGAATATATGAATATTCAAACAGATGTACCAAACACAATTCAGAAGTTATAAACTTACTAAAGGTAAGGTAAGCTTGATTGATATCATAGTGTTCAGAAGTTGTTAACTTTTTGAAAGTATGGAATTCAAACTTAGAGATCCAGAAGTTATGCTCTCCTGAAAGGAAGACAAGTCAACATTTTGATGCATGCTCTCATACAGGGATGCCACTCAGAAGTTGTGTTCTGATACATGTGCTTCTGCAACGTACGCTCTATTTAGAAGTTATGAACTGTCAGAATGATTGATATATTAGAAAATATCAAGTCAAATGTTAATACTTAAGAAGTAGTGAACTTCTCCAAAAGTATAGTGTTTTGGTTGTGATATTAGACTCATGAAGTAGAAGCGCTTATACATAATGCATGACATTATTCAATCAGGCTCAAAATCAAGTTTTGATTCTTCATCAAGTGCTGATAGTAACCAAGTTATGAGATGAATACAAGGTGCTCTAGTCAGACTTTGATGAGTTGTTGTAGGGAAGTGTTAATTCTCTTTATCTATATTATGATAACTCAAAATTTATTTTGTGAGTCTTGGGCTCAGGGGGAGACTCTAAACAAGCATAAAAGAAATTTTGGAATTAACAGATTTAGGGGGAGCTGTGAGCTTAACTATGAATTTGTCAGTTATGGTGATTACCCTGTATAAATTGTTCTATCAAAATACATGGTTTTGTCATCATTAAAAAGGGGGAGATTGTAAGAACAAGAAGTGTTTCTATATATGGCCTTAAGATCTTGATGATAACTTTACATGTTATCTTTAAGAACAATTGTATACTTTAATGGTTTTTTCTAGTGTGTAGTTGTTGCTGTAATGTTCTGACTCTGATATCAAAGGCGTGTGACATCATCAGGTTTTGAACATACACTATTCGAAGAAAACATGTGGTTACATGTTACTGTTGAAGTCAAGATTTTGAGTACGTTTTCTGCAACGTGTCTTAGGAACGTTAGTATAAGAGGTTCTGATTGCGACTTTATGGTTAAGCTTTGAAGACCTTCTAAAGTTTTACTTCGGTGTGTTACAAAGTTCTGAAGATTATGAAGATGAGGTTCTGATGAACAAGTTCTGATGATTTGAAGATAAGCAAGTTCTTACAACCAAGTGCTGAAGACTCTGAAGACAGGGTTCTGATAAGACAAGTTCTGAAGACTCCAAGACTTAGGTTCTAAGACTTAAAGAGTGATTCTTCTACAACAAGCTTCAACATTCAAATTATTTGGAGCCTCTAAGAAGTTCAAAAATGGTTAACGTGTGATGGTGTACAAAAGGTACATAAAGTGTTTGTGACCTCTACCCTCTAGGGTGGCGTAAGAATAATCCTTTCGTATTGTATTATCAACCACTCTCATTGTGACCATTGGGAACAAACGGCTGGATTTCCAGCTATCTTTCTTTACTCACGGATCTCTGTTTACAAGCTTATTATAAAAACATTATTTAGAGAAAAGGTGGAAAGCTATCATTGAACAGTCATATGATACAAAAGCTATTATTTTATATTGTCTAACTCTTACACCTTATTCTATCTATTGGAACGAATTATTGGTGCAGGAAAAGACCTTTCTATCCTCACAACGTCTCTCTGATGGATATAAGAGAAGATCAAAGATTCAAAGCCAAAGTGTCGTTTTCCATCAAGCTTAAATTTTGTGGATGTTGAAGATGTAAAATCTACAATGCTAAACATTATGAGGACCATTATACAGAAATGAGAGAAAATAAAGAAATATAAAGAAGAAGAGTACAAGATGTTATTCAACTTTTGAAAAATACATCTTGGTAGATCTCAGTAGAAGCAAGGAGTTATTGCTCGTAACTTTCTCAAAAAGAAGAAGAAGAAGAAGAAGAAGAAGAAGAAGGACACTACAAGATGTTATTCAACTTCTGATCATATACATCTTGATAGAATATTGTAATGAACACATGAGTTATGGCTCGTATTATGTTTCAGTTCAAATCTCTTCATGTAAACTGTTTTAACATTAGAGTTATTGCTCAAAAATGTGTTAAACAATATGTGCTTAAAACACTTGTGTAATCGGCTTAGAAGAAGCAATCATGTAAACACAAGAACCTTATCAATTGTTGTTAATTGATTCCTTGAGAGACTGAGTGAAGGTTTGATCTCAAGAAGACAATGGTTGCTGATTATTGTAGGAAATCCTAATAAATGATCTTTAGGGATCTGATTCTATTGGGTCAATGATTGTTATATTCGTTAAATCAGATCACTGAACATATCATTGAAGGTTCCTTGAGTGACTGAGTGAAGGTCTGATTTTCAGATGACAGTGGTTGCTGGTCATTGTGAAATCCTGGTAGATGATCTCGAGGGATCTAATTCTATTGGGTCAATGAATGTTATATCCAGTTGGATCTCTGAATGCGTCAATGTGTGTTAGTCATTGGTCGTTGCCCGTGCATTTGTAATCAGTTTGGTTATAGTGGATTAAGTCCTTGTTGAAGACGAAATCATCCTTGAGGGGGTGGACAAGATTAACCTTGTTTAAGGTGAACCTGGATAAATTTGTGTGTCCTTTATTCTTCATTGTCTTTATCGCTATTATCATTTGAGTGCTCAGAATTTCTAAAGGGGAATGTTTTCTATAAAACCAATTCAAATCCCTCATTTCTTGTGTTTTCTCCACCTTCATATATTTCTTGCAGGTACTTATCTCACTGAAGTGTCAGATTGCAAACACTTTCTTCTAGCTGATTTTGTCCTCGTGTTGTTGGTTAGACCAAAGAGCATCCCAACGACCAACTCCCCCGTAGATCAAAGCAGCAAAGGCACATCAAGCATATCGAGCCAGACTTGCCGATTATTTCTCCAGGACACGCTCGAACATATTGGCTAGATACTAAAAATTCACCTTAGGAGGATAAGCTCGACACACTCGAACATATTGACCCTAAAGAAAACTCAAAGAAGTAATATTTTTAGAAGGCTCCCAAGTAGTAGAAAGGCCCGCTTCAGTCCATGTTGGCCATATGCACCGCCTTAAGAGCCAGAACTTTACTTCACCCTTCATGAAATTTACGCGCAATCATTATGAAAGCAAAAACATCATGAATAAGAAAATTGAAGACAAAAAACCCAAGAGCTTCTAGAACTTACCAAAAATGACCTTCCTTTCTTTCCAATAACGGGTCTCCCTCAGCAATTGGGTCTCAGTGAGGCACCTCAGAAAATTTCGGTCGACCTCATCTTAGGGATTGCCACCCCAAGATAACCCATGTCGTTATTGAAGCTCATCAGTCGCTTCTTCTGGTACAAATCTTCCGTAGCAAGGTCTTCCTCTCTATATACGTCAACCTCGTTTCCCATGAAGAAATGACTCATATCTAATATTTTGGGAACAACTATACACATTTACCATCCACATGGGATCTAAGTTTCAAGTGCATCCAAAGATTCTCTACGATCTACGCCTGACAAATAGCAAGTTAGTTATTCCTCTCTATTATATATACAGAATGCGCCAATCTGGATACTCAGTTTTAGACTTCAATTTCAATTAACTCTTTTCCAAAATATTTTATGTATTTTTATCGATTTTTTGAAAATATTTGATAAAAATGCATGAAAAGCATGTGTTCTTACCATTTTTTTTTCCAAAATCGCGGTAAAAATACATGATTTTATACTATAAAATTGATACAAATTTAAAAATTCAATAGAAATTAATATTTATTAGTCATAAAATTCGAAAAATACATAAATTAAGTAATCGCAAGGGCTTTTCAAAGTTCAATATCTTTCAATAATTTTTGTGAAATAAATTTTAATATTTTATAAGAACTTAATATGATAAAGTATAAAATATACGAAGGTGTCAGGTGACATAATAAATTTTCTAAAATAAGACATAAAATAGTTTAAAAATTGACAATTTTTGTGATAGCAAATGGTAAGGTTTCGCTTTAATTTATTTTCATGATTAAATAAATAAATAAATTATATTAATAAATTAAATACAATATAATTAGATTTATTAATTCAATAAAGGGAAAACAGTTTATACATGGTGCTACACTATTTTACTTGCGGATCATATCTAAAAAAAATTAAAAGTATATATTTATTACATTTAATAAATTTTAATAAAACAATACATCTATTTTCTCTGTATTTTCTATCTAATATAAATCTTTTAAAAATGGTCAAACGTAGACCTTTACCACTTTGAATTAATATTAATAAAATATTATACCTACTTCACTTTTTGTATTATTATAAAAGTAATTCTTTTATTAAAAATTTTAAAAGCCTATCATCGAATCTTTTTTCAGAGACAGATTCTATTTTCCATTTGTAATATTATAAAACTGAGTATTTTACTACGAATAATCATACAAAATGTTATGATATGAAAACAAATAAAATGAAATAAACTTAATAATATAATAATATATATGATGATTGAGAAAAGTTAAGGTTTCCCAAACGGAGTCATAAGTCAAGTCTAACGCATATGGTTTTACTTTTCTTCTCCTCATTTTATTAATATCATTATTATTAATACTAGTAATTAGTAACATAAACTACTATTAAGTAATAATTAAATTTGTTTGTGATGAAAACTACACATCGTCAAATAATAACTGATTGAAAATTGAATAATCTCAAGACCATGACCAAACCCAACAATAAAATCTGTATTAATTCCACCTCTTCCCATCATAATAAAACCCCAACACTTTCCCAATAATATTATTTATTTATTTCACTATATCTCATACAAAATTCAATTCCTTCTTTTCTACCTTTCTTCCTCTCTCTCTCTCTATCTCTTTTTCATTCTCTTCACAAAAACTATAGTCATGGAAGATGTGAGTGATGAAGAATGCAACACAAGTTTATATCTTGGATTAGGAATCAAAAAGGAAAAGAAGAAACCAAAATTGGTGAATAAACCTTGTTTCGACCTAGCTTTTGAGCTTTGTCCAAAAAATGAATCCGTAAAAGTACACAATTCTCATAACAACAATAACAACAACAAAGGTGAGAGATTCAGTTTGGAGTATTATCCCAATGCAACAACATGCAGCACCGATTCCGATAACAACAACAACAACACCGATCGGAGAAAGAAACTCCGGCTTACAAAAGAGCAATCAACCATGCTTGAAAACACCTTCAAGCTCCATAACACTCTTAATCCGGTACGTCCTTCAATCTCATCTACAACACCTCAAATCTCAAACCCTAAACCCGACTGTTAGGGTCTAGGGTTACGTATGTGAATTTTTAATAGTTATTATGTTTCATCTGCAGTTGCAGAAGAAATATTATTATGTATATATTAGTAACCATCAAATCATATCGAATGACATATGTGTCGAGTTTTCTATTCAAATATATAAAATTTTAAGTAGTTATTATTATTTCGTCTACAATTGAAAAAAAATGTTATGTATAAAATTTGCAGACAAAAATTTTTAGTGGTTATTATTATTTTGTCTGCAGGTGCAGAAAAAAACGCTTGCGGACCAATTGAAATTAAAGACAAGACAAATTGAGGTTTGGTTTCAGAACAGGAGAGCAAGGACGAAGCTGAAGCAGACAGAGATAGATTATGAGTTGTTGAAAAAACAATGTCAAAATCTGAGTGATGAGAATAAAAGATTGAAGAAAGAGTTACAAGAGTTGAAAGTAAGACAATCTCCATTATGCCCTCAGCGTTTGTCAAAACCTGTTTGTTCTTTCTGCGACCAGAAACTGTTGAAGCGCAATGAAGACAACAATAATTAATTAATATATTAAACGTTAGTTTTTTCATTAGCATAATCTTAGATTATTATATGAAAAAGAAAATAGAAATTAGATATTTTCTAGCAAATAATTTCAAAAGAAAAAAAACAAGAGTATTCAAAAGTCTTCACATTAAGTATTTCTTAGACACGTGTATTTTGATTTATTTGTTTATTTATTATTACGTGTCTTTCTCTCTTTTATCGATTTAATATATTGAAATTTAGTTTAAATAATTAGTTGTTTCGTTTGCTGAATGCCATACATATTCTTAGTACAGATAAGGAATAAGTATTTGAATGGTTGAAATTCAAAGAGATTGATTAAATAATTCGTTAATTTAGTCCACTAATTAGTAAGGATGATTAAAGGTTGGAATAATATGAATATTAGCTATGTAGATTGGATTTTGTCAACGATTTTATTCAATTAAATACATGTCCTACATATATATATTATATACCCATATGAATTATGAACCACTGTAAAAACTAGGTTCTTTAATATTTTTTTATTGTTAATATGGTGTGTGGTCCTAAGAAAGTCCTACCCTAAATTTAGTAATAAAGTTCTTGTTGATGTGTTTTTAATTTTTATAATTATTTATAACTTATAGTTTACAAGTACTTCTCTTCATGGAGGCATGGTCTTAGCTATAACGTATAACTTATTTATTTTTAATCAAATAGTAATTAAAGAAAAATAATTACGCCTTTATATGGGTTATTTACTTAATTAACAATTTTTTTACATAATTACTTAAATATTTTTAATGCATGTTTATTCATGTATATTTATTAAAAATAAAGTATGAGAAAGAACGATTAGGATGATGGATCATGAGAATGAACATTTACATTCACACACAAGTGAGAAAAATATCATATATTTATTCTAAACCCCTAAGGTATAAGGAATATGAGTCTTATTTATAAAGTGTTCCCCACAATTCATGCTTAACAACAAATAACAAGTTTATTACTCATTCTCTACTCTATATATATATATATATATATATATATATATATATATATATATATATATATATATATATATATATATATATATATATATATATATATATATATATATATATATATATAAAAGACGTCAATTCAGATCATAAATTTCAACTTCAATTTTAATTCACTCTTCTCACTCACATATTAATTTGAGAATTGAAGTTTTAATTTTGCAGTTTAACCCCCTCTCTACCGTACCAGAAACTTTCATCCTCCCCTTAATCCATTTCTGATTCTAGAAAGGAACAATGGCATCGTCGGTGAGAATCGACTCCTGATTCCTATATTTTCCATGATTTCTTTATTCTTCCCTGATTCATCAATTCAAAACCTTCTTAGGTCATCAAATATGGAACACTTAAATTCAAACACAAAGATCCATTGCATTCGATCTAATCAAGCATCGCTTCAACTCTGATTCTTTGAATTTCCAGATCTTCAATTCACACACATCGAAGTAATGGTTGGATCCAATGCAACTCCTTTTGTTGCTGCACTTGAAGCCGCAGAAGCAACTTAGGTAGTGATTAATCAACCGCTTTTGCGTCCTCTACAAGGTGTTGTTAATCTAAATATTGAGATTTAACTGCATCCATATATGGTCCAAACTCCTCAGATAGTTGAATGTATCATATGACCTTCTATTAGAGATTAGATTCCACCTCTAGTTTCACAATTTGAAGTCCTACTTGACTTCCAACTACTCAGAGCTAACCTTGGATTACAATATGCTAAAGACCTGCTGAATAACTTGTATAACAACATTATGCAGCAAAATTCACAAGCAATAGAGGAATGATTACAACGCCTTGAAGAAAGCTTCCATAATGCTCATCCATAAGGGATCACTATCCAAGAGGTTCTATCCCGAAGGACTCACGTTGTCGGAGAAAGACGAAGAAAGATGAAGCTCCTAAATAAAAAATCTGTAGAGGAGCAAGTGTTGTAACCGATTTGAAAATGAGAGTTGCCACCCTTAGATTTTATCTTTAGAAAGGGAATATAAAGGATAACCCTAATTTGGTCAAATATTCTAAGTTGTTTGACTCATTTTAGACGGAGGAAATGTGTTAGGCACCCCTTATCTACCTTGTTCACAAGGATACTAGGATTTAGAATTACAGCTTAGAAAATAGGGTCTTAATTTTTATTAGGGACGATTTTGGTCGTATGCCTACGTATCCTCTTATGAGAAATCAAATTCTCAATTCGTAGTTCGCAGTTTGATTGGTGTTTTTTATAGGACTGCGTAAAATTTCCTTCGAGTTATCCTTGAATCTTGTCCGCGTTTGAAGTTGAGTGATCGTAGACGTAGTTCGCACTTTATTTTGAAAGTAATTCTATTTAATCCTTTTTCGAAAATGTCATGGGTTTTATTATGTCAATAGAAAAATGGTTTGATCGTTGGTTAGCTCTTTTGAATTTCGATTTGATTAAAGAGTATAATAGGACATAAAGTGGAGGGAGTTTGATGAAGTCTCTCCTCATAACGTGACCAGATATTGGCCACATGTTACTTGTCATGAAGGACACAGAGGAAGTCTGATAAAGTCTTCATATCACGTGGCCAGATATTGACCATGTGTCGCCCATTGATGAATTAAATTAATTAATTGAGAAAAAGTTGTTTGTATTTTTTATATTTGTATTTTATTATTATTATAATAACTAAAATTAACTAAATAAATAACTTATAAACTAAAAGTAGAGGGTGTAGTTAATAGAGAGAACATGTTAGTAATGTTGGGCCCAAGACCCAATTATTAGGTAAATTAAAAAAGTAAAAAATAAAGAAATCAACTTCAATTTAAAAGAACAACCACTTACTTGAAAACACTTGGCATGGATTTGTTTTAAAATAATAAAAATTAAAAGCAAACAAACCAGTAAATAAGAGAAGGCACAAAAGTCACGTTGAAAATTCATCTTCCTCTCTCTCTCTCACAACCTATTTTCTATTTTCTCTCAAATTTCTTAATATCTATCATTATTACAACAAAACCTATACACTCTTTTCCTTTTTAATTTCAATCAAACAAAATTCGAAGTTTCACTGAACCATAGTTCTGAAAAACAAGGGAACAACAAGATAACTCACCCATGACGAAGAATCCAGCGCGGTTGTTATCGTCAGAGCGAAGTTAGGTGGTCGATTTGCATGTGGGTGCGACCTCGACGGTTCTGGCTGGAGGGAGACGACTCATACGGTGGTTTAATCTGGACATGGATGAAGGTATGTGGTGGAGATCGTAGAGCATTTGAGTGTGGTTGTTAATGCGAAGGTTGGTTGTCGGATTAGATTCGGAATTTTGTTTCTTTGTTAATTGTGATATTGAATCTTCAAAATGCAATTTTCATTTGAGATCTGCATATTGTTTATGAATTAGAGGTTACCAAAACAATAAAAAAAAATACATGATAATCCATGAGACTTTGTTGGATTTTGTGATGATATAGTGAGGGTTATTTTGCATATGTTACTGGTTAGCGAAAAAGTCAGGAAAGACTTGTAAAATATTAGTAAAAAAGAAAAATAAATTTGTAACAAGTTAGTAATACTAATCGTCGAGTGAAAACATTGTTAATAATAAAATTAATTTTCTAAAATAAAAGCTAGTTTTTCTTTATATGGTGAAATAATAGTTAGACCAAAAAATATAGACAAGCTTTGACTTGGAGAATTTTGTGCAGAAAAGTTATGTGTTTGCGATGTGATTAACAAATAGAGAATCAATTTTAAAAAAAAATCATCAACGAGTTATCATCATATAACTTAAGCACTAAATAAATCGAAAATGAAAATAAAAGGGAGGGGGCCTCATATATAAATTATTAACCAAAAATAAGTTTGAAAATAAATTTGAAAAGAAGTTTTGAAACGAAGTTGTGTTTGTGAAATAATGAAAGCGAATTTGGTAATTGTTGGTGAAATTGTTTATTTTGTGGATGAAAAATTATGATGGACAATAGTCCTATTTATTGTCTTAGAATTAGGTTTAAAAACTTAGCAAGTAAGTTATCCAAAATGAATGAAAAGTCCAAAGTTTAATCTCCAAAAAAGGAAAGAAAATTAGTAACAAACAATAGGATAAAATGTTTAAAAGTGCAATACACAAGATTCGAACCCGCACCTTCATACTTGAAAGTTTAATTTCTTACCAACTGTGCTATATTGCTTATTCAAAAATAAAAAGCCAATTGAAAGTACATGAAGATGAGCAAATATTTGTTTATTCAAAAATACAAATGATCTAAAATAAATTATTATATTTTTAAATAGGTTTAGAAGCGAATATTTATAAAAACCAAAGAATATTATAAAACCAATGTTTGAAAATATTTTTTATCGTAGAAATAAAGGGCATGCAAATTTGGGGTATGAGAGCAAGAAGCATGAAACTCTTCCCTAAATCCCTAAGGGAGATTAGGAAGCCACACTCTTTCTCAGGATCAAGCAGAAAACCATTCGTTGAAGGTTCACCAGAAGCATCCAATATGCACAAGGATTTAGGAAAGAAAAATACCAAAATCCATGGAAAAGATACCCAAGCTAGGTGAGTATGATTGGAAGGGAGGTCCAGATGAGCATGTGCAGCTCGCCAATAATCGGTTGAACTACTTTAGCGCTTACGAAGCCTCCAAATGCAAATTATTTGTATTTACCCTATTCAGGCCAATTGGGCTATGGTTCAATGGTCTGTCGAACACGAGTATTGAATGATGCATTGATTATGTGAATGGTTCTCTACACACTTTACCACCCAGAAGAGACACTCGATGATTATAGCCGTAATGAGCAGGATCATCTAGGGAATAAAGAAAGCATACGGTCCTATATCGATCAATTTACAAAAACTGCATTTGAAGTCGATGAAGCCGAAAAAGGTATTAAATATTGGATCTTTGAAAATGGCCTTATGTGGGATCAAAAGGAAAAAGATACAAACCACATAAGAGATGTTGAGCATGACTCGGTCT